CACTAGGGAGGTGGACATCTATTAGAGATGTCTCAAGGCTTAGGCAATATTCTTCTGGCCAAAATATTGAATTCGCCGTTTTTAAGAATCGGCTCAAGTCGAGCCATTTGAACAATATTACAAAGTTCTATAAAATTATATTGAAATAATAAATTCTTGCCTGCATTTATAAAAAAATTATCGGTAGGTTTATAATTTGTATTATTATTTGAGAATGGTTTAAATTATCCCTTCGATTTTGTAATACTGTGGAAATAGGTAAACATCCATTATCTTTCGATTAAAATTGTCGAGTTTAGATAAATTTTTATATCTGTATATTAGATATATTAATATGAATAATTTTAAGTTTATGCATTTAATGAAATATTTTTTAAAAAAAATTAAAATAGGAATATATTATTACATTTTTATATTTTTTTTTATTATTACTTTATTTTTAAGATATTGTCCTAATCTATAAAAAAATAATATTATTAAAAATAAAAATTGTTTTTTAAATTTTAAATTGATAATCATTTTTTTTAAAAAAAGTTTTGTATCTAATGATTTTCAGAATAGATATATTTTTATTATACATATATTGAATACTAAAATATGAGCAGATGAAATCACTGGTTAACCACGTTATACTAAATTATTTTCAAATGAGTAGAAAAAAAAGGTTGAAGATATATGTATTCCTAGTCCTGCGTCAGACCTATTTTATCAAGTCTGGGTATTTCTTTTTTAAATAGTATTTTTATTCTTAAAAAAACCAGAGTTGTTAAAGTATCTAGATACGAAAATTAATAGTATAAATTTTCACTTCAAATTTTTAAATGATTTTTTATTAAAATGAGTGTCGAGATTATTTTATTTTTAAAGATTATCTCAATATAAAGTTGTTATTCCACTTTACCATTACGGGCCACATTAGAAAGACTTTTTGGTGGGTCTATTGATATATAAACATTATTTATAAAAATTTTGAGAATGTTTTATAATTGAAATCTAACAATTATGATTTATATATTTTATTTAAATATTATTAAAATCTAATGCTCATTATTTATCATCTAATAATATTTATCTTTTTTATGCAAGCCTTACATAATTATAATAAAAATGTATCATGATAATCTGCACCTATACATCTTAGAATATGTGTCTATATGCAGATACATTTAGAAAATATCTTATAACTATTCTAAAAAAAAATTATTTATAAAAAAATTAGGCACAGACAATATATTTTAAATATTTTTTCAGAGATCCGAGTTGGAGGTCTCCAATGAGCAAACCTTTTGCCCACCCATTCATTTTACACGAGCGAGCTAAAAAATTAAATACTGGAGGGATGCCTTGGTTATATCCCATAAATATCATCATTTAGTTTTTATTCATTTTTGTTAAACTCTCATTAGAATATCCTCTTAATTAAATATTTTTTAAAATATCTATTTAAGATAAACTGTCCAATTGTATTAACTATTGTATATTACCCAAGAAGCTATCCGATACATTTCGCAACTCCTCTGTAGTTTAAGAGGAATTTTTGGAATTTCATAGCTCACAAAGACTTTTTAGGGCTGACTTTTAGCGGCAAGAAAATATTTCAATTTTGAGCCCGGCTTATTTTTTAGATTTTGATTATTTTAAGATGGCAGGTATATCTGATTTATATATTAAACTAAAAATATATTACTCCTTTTTTAAAAAAAAATTTGTGGTTTTCTGTTTTTATCCTCATTTTTTTTCAATTTATCAAAATCTCAAAATATTACCAAAAAAAATTAATTTAATGAAAAAAAAAAATTTATAGAAATATTTTTATTTATGATTTTTTATTTTGGTATTTTACAAGAAGATGATGATTTAAGTTGAACAAAAAAGATAGAAAAAATTAATATTATGAAAAAAAAAATATACTATAAAAATAAAATAAATTTATAATGCCAAAAGAAAATTGAATTTATATTCCTAATATTTTTTATTAATTTTTTTTAAAAAAATAGAATATATTTCAAAAAAAAAATAGAAAAAGCCAAAAAAATATAAAAAAACTTAAAACGTCCATAAATTAAGACATGCAACCAAAACCACTTATTACACCAAAAAAAATTATCAGAGGAAAAAAATGAAAATAATTTTAGAAAATTAGCGTTTAGATGAGAATAAATAGTGTTGAAAATTAATATAAATATTGAATTATGTGTGTAATATAAAAGATAGGGAATATTTTTATATCTGATTTCCAAACCACATACTAAATATTATTACAATGTATTTAGTTTTGTTAAATGGCTCGATTTTTAAAAACGGCTAACAATATTCAATATTTTAGCCAAATATTGGGTTTGCTGTTTTTAAAAATTGTGCCGTTTATCAAATCTCTAAAGAATGAACCGTTCATTCTTATGTACAAATTTAATTTTAGAACCCCCTAAAATATTATTCTAGTGCATGCATGCTTAAAAGGTTAATACAAAATTCTGTGTATATATTATTTTTTTTCTTCCTGATTTTGCCCAATTTCAATGTTTAGTTTTCTATTTATTTATAATATTGTATCTACAAAAACAGCAATTGATTTTATTTCAAATATCAGGAAAATACTGGTATATTACCTTTTTGGAAGAAAATATTCAAGCCACTATTCCTAAATATATATTTTTTTTAATAGGGTTGGAGAAGGCCTAAAGCAAATAAAGCACGAAATATATTATAATTAAGTAAGTTATTGGTAAGTATTAAATGACCATATATCCCATTGAGTCAAGGTCATAGTTTACCATTCTATTTTTTTTGAGAAATTCCTTAACTCGAGCAGAAACCATGAAGAGAAATAAATATAGGCATGGCACCTTACAAAATCATAATTTTCCTCTAATATCAATCTGAGAGAAGTAGGAAATGTTGTCAAATTATACATTACGCTAAAAAAAAAATTAACATTCGGAGAATTATTTTATTTTAATTTTCAGGAGGGGACTATGAGAACAATATGTTAGCCTAACAAAATATAAAAATTTTAAAGTCAAATCATATAATTTAATTCGATTAATATTTTGTCAATATTGGCTATCATGGTATCATATTATACTGTGTATTCTAAACTTTTACAAATATTGATTATTTAATATTAACACTTTTCCCCATACCACATATTAAAATATATAAAAGTATTATAAGAATATATAAAAAATTGGTTTTCTTAAAAAAATATATATGGGTTTTTTTTAAAAAAAAAAATTTTTTTTATCTGATAAAGATTATGTGATAGATATGTATGAATAATTAGAAGTATTAGTTGAGATATTTGATGATATCTCTAAATTATAAAAACGTAAGTGTCAAATTTATTTTATTTTTTTTGTTTTGGAAATTGGTTATTTTATTGACATAATTATATTTAAGAAAATTAATTAAAATTTATTTTAAATTTATAACAAAATATATAAACTTCTAATTAAACCCTCTCATAGATGAGCGCTCCACTAAATATTAATTTCTATAAAAAAAAACTTATCATGTAGATGAAACCATCTAAAACAATCGGAAAACCCATCCCCAGGAAAACTAAATGTCGTGTATATAAATAATAATAGAGTTGCATTTTCCTGAGACAAAAGAGTTTTTTTTAATAAAAAGTCAATATAATTTTTTTTTTATCTATTCCATATTCATTATTTTACCTTGGGTTTTATTAGTGTTTTTAAAGATTTTACGAATTTCTCTTTGTTTTTTAAATTGACGGATAGCTATTTATCGAGAACATAATAATGTTTTTTTTTACTTATGACGGCTTGTGATAAAACTCAGCGGCCTTTAAAACCCCTAGTTTACCAATAAACCCTGGAAAAACGTAATCCAATTACAAAAAGGATATCAAAATTAACATGAAATAAATTAAAATCAATTCACAAGAACTAAAATTTGACAACCCATTTTCCCCTCTAGTTAGCGGGCTTGCTAATTATTGTCAAGAAAATAACTAATCAGAGCTTCTGTTTACATTTGCTAATATTGATAATTCCTAACATCAAAAGAAAAAAGTGATTTAAGAAAAAGGGGAGGGAAAGGAAAGGAGACATATATTTCTCAAAAAAAAATATTCAAATTTATCCTTTAAAAAATATCCTACCCCCACCCCAACCTCTCTCCCTTTTAAAACTATGAATTTAAGTTAATATAATTGAAGGTAAGCACCATCTTTATTTATATAATATAGTATAATTTAAATGTTATTTAAAAGCAAATTTCTAGTTACGACGTTAAGATTCGAATAAAATTCCTGATTTCTAATTTTTTTCACAAATCTATAGCTAGTTTTATTTTATGAATGATAAGTTCCCTTTGGAAAAATAACAGAAATAAGCCAAAGGGATATTATTAATTACTAATAGTGAACATATACTCCTTAGATTTATAAAATAACATGAATCATCATAATTGGTCTGATCCAAAAATGTCTGTCCAAGTCCTACCAATTTCAGTTTAACCAAATCGGATATGTTTCTGATAAAAACAAATATTATTATCAAAAATTATTTAATGGTCCCGCCTTTCATTTCCAAAAAGAAGAAAATATCAAGCCACAATTAATTACACATATTTAAAATGTGACACATATAGTAAATTAGTTCAAAAATTTTTTTTAAATAATAAACAAAATATTATAAATATGCCTCTAAAATTTTATGCGTAAATCATCAAAACCATAAACCAATGTAATAAAAATATTATTTGCAACAACAACAAAAAATTAAGAATTCTTGGCATCTTGCATAATTTATTGGATAGAATAGAAAGGCTATTTAAAGTGTCGGATGCAAATATTTCGCCAATTTATTATTCATTTTTAAATAATAAATTTTATGTATATCTCACTAAAAAAAAATTTTAGAGGAGTTTTATCTATTTTACTCATTTCAAAAGCCAATGGAATATATCTTATGCTTGTAAATATAATATAATCATTGTATATTTTTATGCAATTTATTATAAATAACCTTTACCTCATTTGAATTCAAGATGTGAAGTCAAATTTGGCTAAGAATGTGATGTAGCAAGAATATATGATTTTATATTATTTACATTTTTTAGGCTAATATATCATTCAGTCTCCGACACATCGAAAGATGATATTATTGAAAAATTAAATGATTTTTTTTTAAAGAAAAAATAAAATTATTTTTACAAAATTTAAAAAAATATATATATTTATTTATAAATTGACATAGAAAAATAGGGAAATGGACAAAATTATCCTGTTTTATTTTTTTTTTCAAGAAATTAACATTTTAAAATTATAAAATTGCAATTTCTAATATTATTTTATATCATGAAATATCATCTTATTCGAAAAAAAACCACACTGTAATATAATTGAGTAAGAATTTTTCAATAGTATTAATAATTATACTTTTTTTATGTAAAAATATTAAATATCTTCTATTTTTAAAACCTTAGGTAATGTAATAATTATTATAATCTTTAATTATTATAGTTTTATTTCATTTTTTTGAAAGTTTTTTGCTTAAAATACAAGATTTTATAACATATTATATAATACTTTTTACATATGCAAGGTCCAAAGAACAATCCTTTTAGCATAATATTTATCGTATGATGCAATAATAAATAGGTTATATTGATAAAGTTTCTTTCATATTTAGTATGCATGGATAAATGAATTGAAATTTGATTTTTAAGCTGCCTCTTTATTTAATTTCTCTAAATTATTTAAAATGACGATCTGAATTTTTCCCCCTAGATACTGGCACCAAATATTCATAACACCTAAATTAATGAAAGTTCTCCCCATTTTTGGTTTTATTTTTTTAGAACTCTCTGACAGGTATTATTTTAGCTTTAACTCTCCATTCAAATGCCTATAAAAACCCCGAAGAAATTCCTTCGGTAACACTATAGTTTTAACTACTTCTACTAATCAAAAGTGGCCCTGGGATCGAACGATCATGTTTCTTCATCTTCCTCAATTCATTTCATTTATGTCTTGAGTTAAGCAAATATTCAGTTTTCTGATAGCCATTTGCTATTATACATATTATTTCATTAATCAAAGAATTCTTACCTCATATCGTAGGCGCCGACTTCGAATAATATCATTTCTATATTGGATGCTCTTTCACCTTTCCTTTCTCGCGCTGAACCTAATTTATTATAATTCATTTAAAAAATGAAACAAAGAGGGAAAAAACATAATACTTTTATTATATAATTTCTATATTGATATGCTCATTCGTCTCTCCTTTAGAGGTGGGCGCGGGCGATGAAATTGGGATGGGTCACGGCATGGTGAAAATAAATTTTAAATTATTAGAGGTGATTGGGCATGACGGGTCTTCCCAAAAAAATTTCCTGGGCGTAATCGGGCGTGAACATAAATTTCTCGTAAATCACGGAAATTTTAATTTGTTTTAAATTGTTTTTTTATAAATGTAAATTTGCAATTTTATAATTATAATATATCATTTCTAATTTAATTTAGTTCTTTTTAAAAAAGAATAATATTTGAAAACCAAAAATCTTCCACATTTTATAAACAACATCCGGTATCATGCCCCTAGTTCTACTTTCTTTTTATCTTTAGGTGTTTTGTCGCGAAACTTTTTGCTTAAACTTTAAAATTTATATGTTCAAATAAAATTTCTTAAGTTTATTTACCTGAGGTATTTTGATTCTGAATATGATACAATAACAATCAAATCCTTAACAGGACTAGATTTCTTTTAAAAGAAAGATTTATTATGCAGCCACTACATAAGGTAGGTAGGCTTAATTCTAGATCCGAATTTCAAAAGCCTTAAATTTTTATTAAAAGAAGAGAAGGAAGATATATATAAAACAACCTTAAAAATGCTAAATAATATAAAATTAGCTGTCATGTCAATGCCAACTACCATTTATAACTTTCATAATACATCTTATACTCATAAAAAATCGTATATTCTAAATAAAACATTTAGAGATCTAGATGATTTTGAAGAAGCATCAAAATCTATTGATGAAAGCTGTGAGGATGAACTTAAAAGAGTCATAGCTCATAAAACAAATATCAATTATAATATTTTGAAGTTTTCGAAGCAAGAAAATTCATTTCCTTTTTTGAGAAAATTAGCGAGATTTCAGCCCCGGCGTTCGGTTTTTAGTGATTATTTTCTGTAGCCAATCGCTTATGAGAGGAAAGGAGTAAACAATTGAAATAAAATAACATGGACATTCTTCTTTTTCTAAATAAAAATTTTAAAGTTTTGAAAAATTTAAAAACACCAATTTTCGGGCGTGTGAAACAAAATATTGCCTTTCTTGAGCCGACGGTTGGGGTCGAAAATTTTTTAGATGTAAGCGTATGGGCATGAATTTTTTTATTGCCAACGTGAGATAGCGGGCTGTGAATATAAAGTTAGGCCCACGCCCACCTCTACTTTCCTTCCTCAATTAAAAAATATCAAATGAATCATTTTATCTCATCTTAAAATAAGAATAATACGCTAAAATCAATAGAAAGGAATTATGAAATAATTATTAAACTTATATTAGAAATGATAAATGAAATTCACAATGATGCTCTCACAATTTATTACATAAAATAAAGCTTTATAAAAACTTTTTATTTCTAAAATATTTGAGATTAGAATTTTTAAAGGCTGATATCCAAAATTCTCCATTACATTTTAAAAATATATAAAATAGAATTGATTAAAATTCTAGAGGCAATACGACAAGATAATACTTTTGATTTATTTTGGAGAGAATAATTTAGAGGCAAAGGAATTAAATTTTGAGGAGCCCATATTAAAGACGACAGAAATAAAAATGCGAAGAAGGATTGAATTTATCATATCATTTCGGGTTAATGTATAGACAAATTTATTAGATCATATCATACAAAACAATTATAAAAAATAAAGCAGTAATGGATTATTTAATTAATATGGAGTAATTTGCAAAAACTTGGAAATCATGTTTCAATATTCTATGGAGATTATTTTTAAATGGATCGTCTAATTCTTCGAGATATGCTTTTGGCTTACTCAAAGTTGGAAAATTATATATTAAACTCTTTAGAATATATTAAAAGAATAAAGTAAGGAAAAAATTATTTCGATTTTTCAGATTTATATAAAATTTACTGTTAACAATTCCCATAGGGGAGATAGGGAATAATGATCCCACGGCTGGTAATTTCTTCTCAAATAGTTTTAAAACTAATAAACTTTGATATTTGAAATTTAAGCCGTTAAGGTAATTTAACAAGATGCTTCAATGGTTCTTATAATGTTTCACGCAAATATGCTTATGAAAAGTTTCAAATGCTAATTTAAATTTTAAAGGTCAAAAGTAATTTTTTAATTTTTACTAATAAATTTTTCTTTATAAAAATTACTCAGACTTAATATCAATTCTAACTGCTATAGTAATATATCTTAATAAACATCTTGACAATATTTATGTAATTTAATATCTTAAATTAAATTTTTAATTAAAATGGAAACACCTGGTGCAAGTTATGGTGAGGTGCGTATTAGTCATTATTAAACAAAGCTTTATTTTGAATAAACCCCTATATTTATAAGAACACTAGAATCCAGTTAATTATTTTTTTTTAAATAAGGAAATAAAAATAATTCCCTTAAACGATGTACATTATTTTATTATATTTACAAAAAAAAAATTTCTATTATCATGCAATTCAACTTTTCCTAACTTCAATAGGGTTTTGAAAATTAACTATTTTTAGAAATCTTATTGTTAAAATAAGTAATATAAGGTCTCGGTATAAGTCAGGGGGGTTGCAATCTATGTGCCCTGGGTGGCAAGCACTTAATTTCAAAAATAAGCTCCCAATTTTAAAGAAATACATATTATTTTATTTAAATTGCCTTCTTACGAAGTTTTAAGGGCTTAATTTTAAACAAATATTCTCATACTTATTATTAGAATCGCCTTGAGCAAAACTAAATGGGAAAAAAACGAAATATATTATATATGATGAAAAAATAAGGTATGTAATCTGTGATTATTTATTAATACAAAATTGTGATATTTTATTTTATATAGTTTAATTGACATTGTTGTATTTTTAAACTAATAATATTTGCTAGGCTGAAATAAATATTAATGTTTCCTGGAGAATTTTTTTAGGTACCAGGTAGGGCTGCTCAGATTAAAAAGATTTTTGGCTAGGGAAAACTAAAACTTACTTTAGGGAGACAGTTAAATAAAGCTAGATGGAATTGATGAAAAAATTTAATAAAATTCAGAGACGCCATATTTTTTTTTAAATACCCAGGCCGAGCCTACATATAAAAATTGAATTATAAATATATTTAAAAATTTATATCACATTCATTGACTCATCTTATTCCCTATTTACATTTTTTCGATCCTTAGAAAATATTTATAGTAAAATATTATTTCAGTTATTTTAGATGATATTAAATCAAATTATGCATTTAAAATATAATACTCTTTTAAGGGAAAAAATTATTTTAGTTAAGTATCATTTCAGGAAGTTTGTTGCTAGGAAGAGACGCAAAACACATTTATGTAAAAGACTATATTAAATTACTAAGAACAGAAAATAAGGAAAGTACCCTCGACAAGTCGCATTGAAAGTGTGGTAATGCAAACTTCCTCCTTACAAATGGGGAGTTAAATTTTAAAAGTTGTTATATAAGGATTTCATATTCGCCAAAAAACGATACGTGTATATTTCAGTTTTTTTTAGTAACCGAGGCCTGTAGAAAAAATTTACATACCCAGAAAAATTTATTTGAAAAAATCCGGGCATAAAATTTTTTTAGAAAAAATACAGGCCTGGCCGGGCTAGAAAATATAAAACTAGAGCTGGATAAAAATTATAGTTTATCGTCAGGCTGGGCCATGAAAATGTTATCTCTGCAGGTCTCTGATAAAAATTATTTTTTATATAAAATACGTTAAAATTATTTAGATTCAATATACATTTATTTTTGAGCAACTTTTGAATTATACAAAATTTGCGTTTATTTTTCAATTTATTTAATGTTCATTTTTGAATTAGTCCCCTGTTAATTTTTGAAAACTTGGTAAAAATATTTTTCTAATTATTTTTGTATGAAAATCTAAGATA